AAAAAACAAAATGTTTAAATATAATCCCATTACAATCAGAACATTTCAATTACTTTGAGAGTTGGTATGGCAAAGAAAGTGAGTCATACAAACCCCCCCGCTGGGACCACTCATTATAAAACACCCTATACAAATATTCATTAATTAACAATCAGGCCCCAACAAAACAAGTTTCTAGAATAAAAAATTTCACAAAATACAAATGGCATACAAAAGCTATTCTATTGAGCTGTTGGAAAAGTCATGATGCATTCTTGCAACAAAAAAACAGAAAAAAATACATCATGACTTTTCCGATTACCCAATAGAAAACTTCAGGGGAAAAAGATACTGATCACAAAAAGGTCTGAATTTTAATTTAAACATGACAAATCTTTTCTTTCTCAGTCTTAAAAAGGACATATACACAGGGCGGCCTATTAGCTCAGTTGGTTGGAGTGCAGTGCTTATAACACCAAGATTGCTGGTTCGATCCCCGCATGGGCTGCTGAGTTGTGCCCTCCACAACTAGATTGAAGTAACTACTTGACTTGGATCTGATGGGTCCTGGAAAAATACACTGTTCCCCAATATAAACTTTTTAAAAATTTTTAAAAAAAGGACATATACAAAAAACCAACAGCTAACATCATAATGGTAAAAGCCTGAATGCCTTCCAATTAATATCAAGAACAAGGCTATGTCTGGCATCCCCACTTGTATTCAATAATGCATTGAATGTTCTGGCCTGACCAACAGGATTAAGAAATAAAAGTCATTCAGGCTGCAAAGGGATAAACTGTCTTGATTCACACAAAATATGACTCACCATGTAGAATGTTCAGAAATAAAGAGTCAGGATCAACTAACTTTTAACAAAGATGCCAAAGCAATTCCAGAAGAAAGGGTAGTTTCTTCAACAAATTGTGGCACAACTGGAATATGCATTTATACACTCACCATGTACCATATATGGGGTTTTCGGAAAAGTCATGACATATCTTTGCAACAAAAAACATAGAAAAAATACATCATGACTTTTCTAACAACCCAATACAAAAATTAACTCAAAATTGATCGTAGAGGGCCGGCCAAGTGGCGCATTGGTTAAGAACTGGCTTGGGACGCCAGAGGGCCCCGGTTCGGATCCCACATGAGGGCCAGTGACAGTGCCCTCTACAGCTAAGATGCTGAACAACAGCTCAACCTGGAGCTGGGCTGCCGTGAATTGCCAGCGACGGCGTAGGCTGCAGCCCCTGCTGCAGTGGGTTGCCATGGGNCCGGCGACTGATCTACCTCACCCGGGAAGAGCGCAATGATGGTGCCAACTTGGGCCAGTGAAGCAACGTACTCCACAATTAGACTGAAGAACAAAAGGACAGCAACTTGTAATAAACATTAACAAGAAACTAAAAAACAAAACAAAACAAAACAAAAAAGCTTAGACCTAAAAACAGTTTTCTTGGAAACTAGAAAATGGGAGTGCAAAGGGAAAAGGAGAGTAAGAGAGTATTATATTGATTTTTGTAAACAGCACTGTAGATCTAGCTGACATTTTACACTATTATTCCTGTATAACTGAGAAAAGGCTATTAATAAATTTTGTCTACAAATGTGTAATTAGCAACATACTTCTAGCTACACTTATCAAACAAATTATCTTTTTGGGTTTTGTACAATATGATAGCATTAACAAATAATGTTACCACTGGAATAAATTTGTCCACTTCTCATCAAAACAATAAGTAATGAGTCAAAATATAACCTTCTACATTAAGAAAAAGGCTTCCTTAAATTTTGTGATTAATTCTAGAAGCACTAGTACGTACCAGAATCTTCTGTGGGTTCCGTCTTCACCTTGACGGAGCCACAACTGAAAGGAAAAGGAAACCCTGATGATGCGATGCATCGGCGAGGGCTGCTCACACACTATTCAAACACACCAGGTCTCACCACAAAACTATCCACCTGACCAGGCTGAACGCAAAACTGACTCAAGTTCAAAATTTTGCATTTATTTCTTCCAAAAATGACTTGTCAACTGAATTTAGCATTTTAATTCCAATCAAACTTTTTTTGGGGAAAGTATAACAAAACAACATAAAGTAGCATATTAACTTTCTAATTCCACTTTACAATAAAGTCTCCTTATCTACAATGTGATCATCAACAATCATATCAGTATCACCCAGGAACTACCACCATTCAGAACTAATAAGTCAAAAACTGCATTTTCACAGGATCCCCGAACGATTCAATTGCATATTAAACTTCAAGATGTGTGACATTAGCCTTTTTAATATTCTAATACCTCATTAATCTAAAAACTTGAATGTGGTGAGGTGTAGAAGTTTATCTGTACTAAGGAAATATGTTTTACCTTCCACCTGGAGATAGCATTGACCTTTCAGGATCTGTTACCATCACACGACCACCTATGTACAAAAGAAAATTAGATTTAGTTCTTCCAACACGTCAAATATGACGAATATTCCCAAAGGTCCTAAATATAGCATGGACTGGGAGAGAGGGAGCTCACAGCTTGGGTCATACTATAATGAGTATTGAATTAGTTTATAAAAGTATCCTTTGTTCTCCCTTGTAAGGAAGATAACTAGGGGTGACAGTCATCTAGGGGTGACAATCATCTAACAGTTTTCATACTCTTACTACCAGCACCCTCCCTTTTATGAAAAAGCTCTTATTTTTATCAGTGAAACAAGCACTGCAATATACTATTACTCTAGTAATGTAGAGTAAGATTCTTCTGATGTATAAATGATGATAACGATTTCTATTAGAGTAGATCTGGCTCTAAACAACTGGAAAGCAGTGACTGTTGACAGGTACAAGGTTTTTCAGGGTGATGGAAATGGTTCTGGAATTAGAAGCAGTGATAGTTGTACATCTTGTAAATATACTAAAACCCACTGAATTGTACATGTCAACATTGTGAATTTTATATATGCAAAAAAAAAGAATTGAAAAAAGAAACAGACTGACCCCATCAAATACTGCTAAAGATGTGGCACAACTGTAATACACTGCTGGTGGAAATGGAATAGTCATGTAAAAAACCAGTTTGGCAGTTTCTTAAAAAGTTAAACATATAAATAAGTACCATCTAATCTAACCATTCCAATTTTAGGTTATTTATTGAAGAGAAATATGCCCAGGGCCAGCCGAGTGGCGCGTTGGTTAAGAGCTGGCTTGGGACACCAGCTCTGAGCAGCAGAGCCCCGGTTAGAATCCCGCATGGGACAGTCACGCTGCACCCTCTACAGCTAAGATGGTGAACAACAGCTTGACCTAGAGCTAGGCTGCCAAGAGTCACCAGCAACAGCGCAGGTTGCAGTGAACTACAGCAATGGGCTGCCGTAAACTACCGAGAGTGCCTGGCAGCCGGCGTGAGCTGCCGTGAGCGGCCATCCAGTGGCCAGCAACCCATCTGCCTCACCTGGGAAGAGCACAATGATAGTACCAACATGGGCCAGTGAAGCCGACGTCCTCTGCAGCTAGACTGAAGGACAAAAGGACAGCAACTTGTCTATTCCCCTTGCCCAATTCCCCAACGCTGTTCCCCTCCCTCAATTCCCCCAAAATCTTTAAAAAAAAAAAAAAAGAAAGAAAATATATGCCCACATGAAGACTTGCACTCAAATATTCATAGTGCTTTCTTTATAATAGCCAAGAAACAAAAACCCAAATTTTCGTGGACAGGTCAATGAGTAAACACATTGTAGTATATATATACAATGGAATACTACTTGACAAAAAAAATAATTAATAATAATGAACTACTGGGCCGGCCGAGTGGTGAGTTGGTTAAGAACTGCCTTGGGATGCCAGAGGGCCCCGGTTCGGATCCCAGTGACACTACCCTCTGCAGCTACGATGGTAAACGGCAGCTCGACCTGGGGCTGGGCTGTAGTGGGTCGCTGGCAACAGCGTAGGCTGCAGTCTCCTGCTGCAGTGGGTTGCCATGGGCTACTGTGTGTAGCCAGCAGCCAGCGTGAGCGGCCGTCCAGAAGCCGGCGACTGATCTGCCTCGCCAGAACAAAAGGACAGCAACTTGTCTGTTCCCCTTCCCCCGATTCCCCAGCGCTGTTCCCCTCCCCCAATTCCCCAATAAAAATCTTAAAAAATAATAATGAACTACTGACACATGAAACAACGTTAAGTCTCAAAAGAAGAAATCAAACAAAAAAAGTACATGCTACGTGACTCCAATTATATAAAAAAATCTAGAAAATGTAAACATATCTACAGTGACAGCAAGATCAGTGGTTACCTGTGGACAAGGGCTGATTTCAGAGGAAAGAATGACTACGGGGTGTGAGGAAATTTGGGGGTGAAAGATGTGTTCACTATTTTGATTATAGTGGTTTTCAGGGTATACATGTGTCAAAACTTATCAAATTGTACACTTTAAATATGTGTAGTTTACTGTATGTAAATTATATCTCAATAAAGCTGTTAAAAAATGTTTAAATAGGGCCGGCCGAGTGGCGCGATGGTTAAGAACTGGCTTGCGATGCCAGAGGGCCCTGGTTCGGATCCCACATATGAGGGCCAGTGACACTGCCCTCCACAGCTAAGATGCTGAACAACAGCAATTTGTCTGTTCCACTTCCCCCATTCCCCAGCACTGTTCCCATCCCCCCAATTCCCCAATAAAAATCTTTCAGAAAAAGAAAAAAGCAGAAATCTAGCATTAGAATTATAAGTAAATCCTAATCTGATTTAAATTTAATGATGATACTTTTAACTATTTTAGTAATATTTTTAGAATTATGATTATGGCAATGGATATGACATGGGTTTATTATGGTATTANAGCGCAATGATAATACCAACATGGGCCAGTGAAGCAACGTCCTCCACAACTAGACTGAAGAACAAAAGGACAGCAACTTGTCTGTTCCTCTTCCCAGATTCCCCAACGCTGTTTCCCTCCCCCAATTCCCCAATAAAATATATTTTTTAAAAAGGCAACAAATAAAATCGAACTTTAAAACATGAAATACAGTGTGGCACTAGCATAAAAATAGGCATTTGAGTTCAAGATAATAGAAACAAAAGTGCAGAAGTAAACTTGGTCAACTGATTTTTGACAAAGGTGCTAAGGCAATACAAGAAGAAAGAATATCTTTTCAACAAATAATGTTGGGGCAATAGTATATCCACCTGCAAAATGATAAATTTAGACCCTTACTTCACAACATGCACAAAAATTAACTCAAAATGGATCTTAGACCTAAGCATAAGAGCTAAAATTATTAAACTCAAAAAGAAAACATAAGTGTAAAATCTTTATGACCTTAGGTGGGCAAAGTTTTTCTAATGTAACACTAAAAGCACAAGTGAGGGGAAAAAAATACTTGGAAAATTGGACTGCAACAAAATTTAAAACTTTGTTAGGCTTCAAGGGACACCATTAAGAAAAGGAGAAAAACATGCCTAAGACTAGAAAAAATATATTCTACAAAAACTTAGTTCTGATAAAAGACTTGTACCCAGAATATATAAAGAACTCATCCAACTCCAAAAAAAGCAAGAAAACAACCCACGTAAAAAATGGGCAAAAGATTTCAACTGGTATTTCATCAAAGATGACATATGAATGGTTTATGAGCACACAAAAAGATATTCGACATTGTTAGGAAAAAGCAATTAAAACTACAATTATATAATACTCTAGAAAAGGCAAAACAATGGAGACAATAAAAACATCAATGGTGGCCAGGTGTGAGGGGAGAGATATGAACAGGCAGAGCACAGAGAATTTTTAGGACAGAGAAACTACTCTGTATGATACTATAATAGTGGATACATGTCATTACACATTTGTCAAAACTCACAGAAGGTACAAGACGGAAGCCTAATGTAACTACGGACTTTGGGTGACCATGTGTCAAGGTTGGCTCATCAGTTTGAACAGATTATGAGATGTTAATTGCAGGTGTAAGGGTAGAAGGTATATGGGAACACTATGTACTTTCTGTCCACTTTTGCTGTGACTAAAACTGCTCTAAAAATAAAAATGTCTATTTAAAAGCAAAGAGAGAAAAAAACACACACTAGAATAACTATAATAAAAAAAGACAGATAATAACAAGTACTGGCCAAGACAAGGGGAAACTGAAACCCTTACACACGGTTGCTAAGAACATCAAAATGTTGTAGCCACTTGGGAAAACAGTATGTCAGTAGCTAAAAGGGGAGCACAGAGTTATTATAAAAGCAGTTCACTCCTAGGTGTCTACCCAAGAGAAATAAAGACATATTTCCACACAGACACATATGTCAGTGTTCACAGCAGTGGTATTCAAAACAACCAAAAAGTGGGAAGTTAGGTGTTTACCGAATAGTGAATAGATAAAGCACAGGAAGTTTATCCGTACAATGGAATAACATTCCGTTGTGAACTTGAACATGCTGCAAATGTTTTTGAACATTTGATGCTGAGTAAAAGAAGCAAATGCAAAACATCATGTACTATGTGATTCTACTTGTATTAAATGTCGATACAACCCGAACTAATGATAGATACAGGGAATGACTGCAAAGGGGAATCAGGCTTCTAGCTGGGGTGATGGAAATGTTATAAAATTAGACTGTGGTGACGTGACCTCTGCAAAACCATATGTACTTACTAAAAGCATCATTGAATTATACACTTAAGACAGGTAAATTCTATGGCATACAAATTATATCTCAATAAAACTATCCAAAAAAATCTCTATGAAATAACAGTATAAACACCTCATTTAAAAATAAGGAATTATAGGGCTGGCCGAGTGGCGCGATGGTTAAGAACTCGCTTGGGATGCCAGAGGGCCCCTGTTCGGATCCCACATAGGAGGGCCAGTGACACTGCCCTCCACAGCTAAGATGCTGAACAACAGCTCAACCTGGAGCTGGGCTGCCATGAGTCGCCGGCGGCGGCGTAGGCTGCA